AATGTACAACGTTTCGACAAGGTTTTGTCATCATCAGGTACAAAACCTTGTCGAAACGTTGTGCATTTGCTGTCATGTTAAACTTATATTAAAGTTTTTCTTCGTTACCCATTTAAGCCGTCTCCAGCCATTATCAGTCTACTTTTATATCTTTGGTTGTATAATAGAGAATTACATAATAGTTCAGACTTATAGTTTGTAACCTTTATTTTTATTTTCTTTTGATCAGTAATCGTTTTTTTTTTGTTTTTTTTTGTTGCTTTTGAATAAGTTTCTGAGACCAAGTATTTTGCCAAAATCTTTTATTATCGTAATATTACACATTTATGTAAAGAAATTTTTTTTTCTTCAGTGAGAGTTGACGTGCATGGAGTCGTTCAAGTTTACAACTCTGTGACAGGAGAATGGAACCTTGTTTGTGGACATGAATGGACTTCGGAAGCTGGAGATCGTCTTTGTCAAGAACTGGGATTCGGGTATAAAGATTACTAGTCTAAAATACCAAAAAAAAACTCTACACATTTCTTAAACTAACTGTAATCTGTCAAACAAAACTAGTTTATTGGCTTACTAGGAATTATATCTGGTCTTATTTTGATAGAAAAAAATCACCAGAAGAACTTTAATGTCTGCTTACTGAGATGTTTTTACTTCGTTTATAGTTCTCACGTAATGCCTTCTTTGTGATAGTTTGTTAGAAAAAATCACCAGAAGAACTTTATTGTCTGCTTACTGGGATGTTTTTACTTCGTTTATAGTTCTCACGTAATGCCTTCTTTGTGATAGTTTGTTAGAAGAATCACCAGAAGAACTTTAATGTCTGCTTACTGGGATGTTTTTACTTCGTTTATAGTTCTCACGTAATGCCTTATTTGTGAAAGTTTGTTAGAAAAATAATCAGAAGAACTTTAATGTCTGCTTACTGGGATGTTTTTACTTCGTTTATAGTTCTCACGTAATGCCTTCTTTCTGATAGTTTGTTAGAAAAATCACCAGGAGAACTTTAATGTCTGCTTACTGGGATGTTTTTACTTCGTTTATAGTTCTCACGTAATGTCTTCTTTGTGAAATGTTAGGCTGTGAATTCGTTGAAAGTAAAACTTCAAATGAAAAATAAATAACTATTTTTAGAACTACATATTCTGTAGTTGACCAAGTTGGTTTTCACACCGTTCACAAAGCTACACAATGGGCCATCTGTGCAGTGCCCACCACGAATATAGAAACCCGATTTCTAGCGTTATAAATCTGCAGACTTACCGCTGTACTACTGGGAGGAGGGGGGGGTCAATATAGTGAGTAATTTTGTTTTCGCCTCCTACAGCTTTTACTATAAATAACTGATAGAAAATTAGAAAAAATAACAATTCATTTTGTACTTATCATACACAGAAAAAATCAACTTTCATTAGTGAGGTTAACTGATGTATTGATGGCATTTTTGTTTAGTTTTTGTGTGACTCATAAGGGATTCTATGCCCAAGAAAGTCACGGACCTATGAGTAATTTGGTGCACTAATAGTTTATAAAAATGTGTTTCAAAAGCTGAAAGGTTCCGGACCTCATGAGTAATTCTGAGGTTAATAACGTGTAATCTTTGCTATGAAGCTCGCCAACTTGAAGTTCACTGTCTTTTGTTTTAATTAACTTATTAATAATGAAACCATCAGCTTTAGTAGCGAACTACGAAACAAAAGCAGCGTTTATTTATTACCTAATTAGCTATTAATTTTGGAAGTATGAACTGTTTTCAATTTGTACCGGGCATGGTTTTGTGATTAGCGTGACCATACTATGAATCTGAGGATTCAAGGTTCGTGTCCGTTGCCTCAAGAACACATTACGTAATTTGGGGTCGTGAGTGCTACATGAAGGTGCGGATCAAATCCCCGCTATTCGATCAGACAAGAGTTGGCTTGGAGGGGGCTGTTCTCTCACCGTCTTACCTCTAGTATATTAGTTCAAATTTAGGAACATTTATATGCAAATACCCCAAGTGTAGCTTTGGACGAATTTCTTAAACAAAGAATGTCTTTAAAAGTCACGGTGGTTTGTGGTATTCTTCTAGTGAGGCCCTAGCGGTAGAGACAAGAACAGTAGTAACAAACAGTTCCAGTTGGGCTTCATACGAACGTTCTTTTACTCCATCGAATCACACATTCTGGACTTCGAGACTACGGCTCAACTCTAGTTGTGAAGATAGTCAGGCTGCTGTAGTAGAGTGTCGTCAGTTTAGTAAGTTTTACACAATTTCCCTGAACCTCGTTCAGGTTGATTTTATACAGGTTTTGCAGTATTTATTAGATAAATATATACAATTTGATATATCTTAAAATACGGATTAAATATAAAATATGCATAGTTAAGTTGGAAAACTGGCCAAAACAGTAAGATGGTTTTGTGTTCAATTTTACAATCATGGTAGACAAGTAACAGTCATAAAATATGCAGATTAAGTGTCGAAAAAAGCTTAATATATTATCTAATTACAATTTGAAGGCAGCTTTTATTACCCTGTTATTTTATTTATTTGTTTTTATTGTTCAGCATTATTTCAATTGTTTCTAAAGAATCACTACATATACAAAAGGATAATTTGACCGTCCCCCCTTTGGAATTGATGTTTTCCACCAATTGCCAACAGGAATAATTTTTTCAGTAATAAGAATTTTACACAATTTCCCCATCTTTATTGGATTTAACTTTCTAATAAGTTTCCTTTCTTAACCAAATTCGCAGTCGTAGGCACATAATAAATTATACATGTTTTTCTGTAAATAAATCACGTACTACGGAGGTTCGATTTTATTCCCCTCATTTAATTAATTTTGTTGCTTCTGTGTTGCTGATAAATAATTTGTTTTATTAATTCTATATTCCTGTTAATTAATTCTTTATATATTATATATTATTTATATATTAACCATTCAATGATTTTTTTTTCTGTTACAGTTAAATAGGTGTTTCATCAGTGTTTTTATTCTAGTTAACTGATAATTTTTGTTTACAAATGAGTTGTTCTACAACTCTGATTTCATAATATTTTGCTGATTGTTAATTTACAAATGAAGTGCTTTATTCCTGTAATGTAATTCTGGTAGTTGATTCCTTAGTTCATAAACTAGATGTTTATTATTCTAATGTACTCCTGTGTGCTGATTCTTTAGTCTAATGTAATACTGATTATTGATTGTTTAATTTATAAATTAGGTGTTTATTATTCTAATGTAATCTTGAGTGCTGATTCTTTAATCTAATGTAATACTGATTATTGATTGTTTAATTTATAAGTTAGGTGTTTATTATTCTGATGTAATCCTGGTTATTGATTGTTTTATCTATAAGCTAGTTGTTTATTAATCTAATGTAATCCTGGTTATTGATTGTTTTATATATAAGCTAGTTGTATATTATTCTAATGTAATCCTGGTTATTCATTGTTTAATCTATAAGCTAGGATTACATTAGAATAATAAACAACTGGTTATTCATTGTTTAATCTATAAGCTAGTTGTTTATTATTTTGAATTAATCTCTATTGCCGATTCTTTAGTTTATAACCTATATGTTTCTGATATAATTCTGTAAACTGATTTATTGTTTACAGATTATGTGTTTTATTATTCTGATCTCATCTTATTTGTTGATTCTTTACCTTAAAAACATTGCACGTGATTAATTTAATTCGTTGTTTTAGATTGTTCAACCCTTCCTGGACCCTTGTATCGAACAAAGCCTGTTGTTGAAGGCCTGCTATCCTCACCTCGACAGTGGCCGTCACTAGCCATAGTGAAGAACATACACACAAATAAAACTTGTCATGCAGAAATTATATCTCCAAATTGGTTGGTGACATCAGCAAACTGTGTTCTGTAAGTTGATTTAATTGTAAGTAAGGTAACGGTAAGGGATATGAAATTTTAGATAATCTTGTTGGTTTGAAAACTTTTATATCAGAATCATTACTTTTAAAGAAACAGTAACAATATCTTATGTAAAAGTGTAAATCTTTATAATAAAATTCAATAAAAAAATCCAACAACAATCGTCTAAGCTGTTGCATTCATCATAACTTAAATCGAATAAATGTTATCCTTGCTTATAACTGGATGAGACTGACATTGGACGTTTTATTTTTTGAAAATTAAGCAGGTAAGGTCAGTGAATACTAAATCACTATAAAAATTAGTATCAATTGAAGTACATAGAAAAAAAGGCAATTTTTGGCATTAGTTTCGGATTAATGTGGTCAGCAGAAACAAAATGGCAGACGTTTGCATTTTGTCCGAAGAGGGTGCTGTTGTGAACATAAAATATTTTTCCATACGTAAATAAGATTATTATAAAAAGTCGTTTTAGCATGTAGATGTAATGGAATTTCATGTGGATTATGATTATATTTCAATATTTTGATTTTTTACAGGATTATTTCTAAAAAGTAAAGAGGGATTTACTACTGAAAAAATATACGTCAGGATTTCCTTATCATTTACTATAATGCCAAATCCACAGTTCTGAGTGTTAGGACTAGTTTTTAAAGTAAAAATATCTTCATACAGTGTTTCATGAAATATAAACATATCGTAACAATCAAATTCGAGGAAGAGGAAATAGAAATATGGCAGATGAAGGTCGAGTAACCAATGTGCGCATAATGAAAGAAAACGACATACTACTGTGAATATTAATATTACCTTTCTATCCGAGTGATCTATCTACTTAGAAATAAATAAAAAGATCGACATGGTAATGAACATAGCTAATCAAATATTCTTTTATTTTAGATTTTTACTTATAAAGATAAGAATACATTGTTGTGGTGTGAACGCATTTTGTTCTAAATACATCAATTAAGCTAACAATGTAAAATAATTTATTTCATTTTATTTTAGATTTTTACTTATAAAGATTAGAATACATTGTTGTGGTGTGAACGCCTTTTGTTCTAAATACATCAATTAAGCTAACAATGTAAAATAATTTATTTTATTTTTATTTTAACTTATAAAGATTAGAATACATTGTTGTGGTGTGAACGCATTTTGTTCTAAATACATCAATTAAGCTAACAATGTAAAATAATTTATTTTA